AGATAGCTACTTTCATATTTGACAAAGCAGACTTCAAACCAGAATTAATCAGAAGGGACAAAGAAAGTCATTAAATACTGGTAGAGGGAATAACTCAGCAAGATGATATAGCATAAATAATGTGCCCATACCAAATTGCATAAAACAAACACCTCTTGACATAAAGACTCAATTAGATCCCAGTGTAGTAATATTAAGTAATTTTAGCACACCTCTCTCACTGATAAATAGGCTATGCAGACATAAAATCAGCAAAGACACCTTAGACCTAAAAATACTACAAATCAAATGGGAATAACAAACATCATCAACAATAGCTGAATATACTTTCTTCTCAGATGTTCATGGAACCTTCTTCAAAATACATAATATATTTTAGGCCACAAAGCAAGTCTTAGTAAATACAAAAAAGTCAGTATAATTCCTTGCGTCTTATCACATAATAATGAAATCAGAAATCAACAGCAAGTAAAACTATAGAAACTATAGGAACACATGAAAATGGAATAATATACTTTTGAATGATGAACAGATCATAGAAGAACTCAGTAGAAATGTAAAAATTCTTAGAATCTAAGAAGAATATATAACAAACCACAGTTTCTGGGACACTATGAAGGAAGATCTAGGGAAAGTTTATAGCTACAAGTGTCTACATTGAAAAACCAGAAAGATCCCAAATAAACAATCTAATGATGGGTCTTAAGACCCTAGAAAAATTTTTAAAAAACTAATTCCAGAGCCAATAGGAAGAAGGAAATAATTAAGATCAGAACCAGAATTAATGAGATATAGAGAATAATTTTAAACTACACAAAGGACGAATGTAATAAAGAGTTGGTTCTTTGAAAATATAATGATTGATTAAACACTTTTCTAAACCAAAAGGAAGAGAAGGCCCAAATTAATAAAATTACATAAGATGAAAAAGGTAATATATACATAAATGTCATTGAAATCCAAAAGATTTTTGAAGACTTACATTTCAGTAAATTGGGAAATGTAGAAGAAATTAACAAATTTCTAGAGATAATAAGTTACCAAAATTGAACCAAGAGGATGTAGAAAACTTTTAACAGACCAATAACATACAATGAGATTGACAAAATAATAAATAACGAAGAAAAGCCCAGGGCCAGATGGATTCTGAGCTGAATTCTAGCAGAACTTTAAAGGAGAACTGATGTCAGTGCTCTTCAAGTTATTTCATGAAGTAGAAAGGCAGGAGAAACACTTCCAAATTCATTCTTTGAAGCCAATAATATCACCATGATTCCTAAACAGATAAGACATGTCAAGGGAAATTGCAGATGAATATCCTTGATGAGTATAGATACAGAAATCCTCAATAAAATATTAGGGATGCAAGGATGAATCAACATTCAGTAGTCAGTAAATAAAATTGACCACAAAAAAAGAATAAAAGACAAAAATCACATGATCGTCTCACTTGATGCAGAAATAGCCTTCAACAAAATTCAGCATTCATTAATGATGAAAACACTGAAGAAGCTAGGGATAGAAGGGTTTTTTTTTTTATTTATTTGTTTTTTGTTTTTTGGTAGAAGGATCTTACTTCAGTATCATAAAGGCTATATGTAACCAACCCAAAGACAACATCATACTCAATAGGGAAAAACTGAAAATATCCTCAAAGGTTAGGAGCAAGACAATGATGCCTACTCTTACCAGTCCTATTCAATATAGTACTTAAAATTTTAGCCAGAACAATTAATAAATAAGAAAGGAAGAAGTCAAAATATCACTGCAGATGATATGATCCTATTCTTAGAAAATCCAAAATGCTCTACCTGAAGACTTCTACAGCTGAGAAATAAGTGCAGCAAAGTAGTGGAATGCAAAAATCAACATACAAAAATCAGTAGCTTTCCTATACACCAGTAATGAATTCACTGAAAAAGAAATCAGGAAAGAAGTTCCCATTCACAGTAGTCTCAAAAACAAGTCCTAGGAATAAATAAATCTAATCAGAGTGGTGAAGGACCTCTACAGGGAAAATTACAGAGTACTGAAAAAAGAAATAGGACCATAGATAGGCAGAATTAAAATTGTTAAAATGACCATAATCTACAGATTCAATGCAGTCCTCATCAAAATACCAATGGCATCCTTCACAGGAAAAAAAAAAAAAAGTCCTCAAATTCATTTGGAAGAATAAAACAACAAGAATAGCCAAATCAATTCTAAGCATAAAGAACAATGTAGAGACATCCTAATACCCGATTCACATTATTTTACACAGCTCTAGTAACAAAAACTGCATGGTACTGGCATAAAAACAGACACACAGACCAATGAAATAGAAGTCACTGAGACAAACCCACACAAACACAGATGATAATCTGATCCTTGACCAAGATACAAACACAAACACCAAAGAAAAGACAACCTTTTAAACAAGTGGTGCTGGGAAAATTGGATACCCATATCTAAAAGAGTGAAACCAGATTCCTCTCTCTTACATTCTACAAAAGTCAACTTAAAATGGGTTAATAACCTAGGAATTAGACCAGAAACTGCAATTGCTAGAAGACACCATAGGATCAACACTCCAGCATACAATAGTGCAGGAAATTACTTCCTCAGTAGGATTCCTAAAGCTTAGGAAATAGAAACAAGAATTATAAATAGGAGAACAGCAAATTAGAAAGTTTCTGAATAGCAAACAAAACAGTTGAGAGTGTGAACAGAGGTCCTACAGAATGGAAGAAAATCTTTGCCAGCTACTCTTCCAACAGAGGATTAATATCCTGAAAATACAAAAAGCTCAAAAAAATTACTGCCAAAACAAAAACAAATACACTCAATTAGTAAATGAACAAGTGAACTAAATAGACTTTTCTCAAAAGAAGAAATACTAACAACTAACAAATAAATGAAAAAATGTTCAACATCTTTAGCAATTATGCAGTTTAAATCAAAACTATACTGACTATCATTCCTTTAGCATGGCAGTCATCAAGAATACAAATAATAGTAAATGCTGGCAAGGATGTATGGAGAAAGGAACATTTATAGACTGTTGGTGGGACTGTAAATTAATACAACCAGTATGATAATCGATATGGAGATTCATTAAAAAATTAGAAATGGAACCACCCTATGACCCTGTTTTTCCATTCTTCCTTATTTATGCAAAAGAAATAAAGCATGCTATAGCAATACATGCACACCATGTTTATAGTAGCACAATTCACATTAGCCAAGTTAAGGCACCAACATTGGTGTCCATCAATGGATGAATAGATAAAAAAATGTGATATATACACAATGGAGTTTTATTCAGCCATAAAGAAGAATGAAATGCTGCAATTTGCAGGAAAATGAATGGAGATATAGAGCGTCATATTATGAGAAATAAACCAGATTCAGAAAGTCAAGGCTCAAATATTTTCTCTCATGTGGAAGGTAGAAAGAAAAATGTAAAAATAGGACTCTCTTGAAAATAGAAGGGAGACTAGTAGCAAATGGGGATTAGGATGAGGATAAGGGGAAGTACTGGGCAACAATGAAAGTGATCAGTCATGTTCATGTATGAATATGTCACAGTGAATTCCACTATTATGTATAACTATTGTGTACCAGTAATTTTTTAAAAAGTCATCATCAACTCTCTTGTACAGGATAATTTATACAGCCACAACTTGTAAATTTTAATAATGATACTTATATATCTTGTTGACTCTCTGGAAACCACACGAGGAAGTACTTACCAATGTTAGGGTCCATCCCTCCATCTTACATTTATAAATATATTTTGTCAGTCCCTTATAGTGATTGAATTCAAGGGAAATTTTTTTTCCTGCCTACAGTTAGCATCAAGTTAATCCCAGCACAGGCGATTAATGTGCTAATTAGGTTAAACCTTCTATAACCCAATCATTTAAAATATTTTTATTTGTTCTTTTTAAATATACATGACAGTAGAGTGTATTATGACATTTGCCAATAAATGGATGGAACTGGAGACTTATCATGCTAAGTGAAATAAACCAATCTCCAAAACCAAAGGCAGAATGTTCTCTCTGATATGTGGATGCTAAAACATAAAAAGGGAGGGGAAGGGAAGAAAAGAAGTTCATTGGATTAGACAAAGAGGAAGTGAAGGAAAGGGAGGGGGATGGGAATAGGAAAGACAGAAAGAAAGAATGAATGGGACATAACTTTCCTATGTTCATGTGTGAAACACGACACTGAAACTCCATATCCTATACAACAGCAAGAATGGGATCCTAATTAGAATAAATTTATATTCCATGTATGTATAATATGTCAGAATTCAAGGAAATTGATTCAGAATAACAACTTAAGAAAATCATGTATACAATCAGATAGCCAATTAATATAATCCACAGTGGTTTTAAAATATTACTTCTGTGAGGATCAAATAATTTTTAGCTGGACAGTAAATACATTGTCAGCCGTGCTGAAAACGGAATCAGTTAAATAGCTTCAGAACACTTTTCTTGTACTGCAGCTATGTTGTGTCCCAGTTAGCATTGCACATACATTTTATCAGGAATAAATTGCACTTCAGAACAATATTTGGAGATGCACACAACTCAAGATTGACTTGAAATACTATGTTAGAATGAAAAGTGACTTTTGAACTACCCTTCAGTATCTCTAGTTGATGCTGTTCTAAAGTTGATGTCAGTTTATTCTTCTCTTCTTGATATTCATATGTATTAGTCTTGCAAGTAATTTTGAAGATTTGATTCTCCTAACATATATTAAGTTGCTTTTACCTTATTTTTGAATAGGAAAATTATGTTCTAGGCGAAAGCTGTTTTAGACTCAACTGGATTGAGCCTCATAAAAACTCAAGCAGTCTATCCATATTTTCCATATATCTTGGTCTTATACTTTTATTTTTCTTGTGTTTACATTTTGTCTTATTATGGTCTAGAGTTTGCTGTTCATAACTTCCTTATTAAATCATTTAAAACTTAGTTCATGTTTCTTTTTCTCTGTTTTAGAAAGAGCTATTGCAAGACATGAAGTTCGAGAAATTGAGCAACGACATACAATGGATGGACCTCGACAAGATTCATCTTTAGATGAGGAAGAGGATATGGTGATAATTTATAACAGAGTTCCCAAAACAGCAAGCACCTCATTTACCAATATCGCCTATGACCTGTGTGCAAAGAATAAATACCATGTTCTTCACATCAATACTACCAAAAATAACCCAGTGATGTCATTGCAAGATCAGGTAAATTAACACTACACCAGTGTTTTCTGGGACATCCACAAATTTAAGCACTACAACAGTGTTTTCTGGTACATCCACAAATTTGTATTTCAAGAAGATAAAATATTTTAAAGAGCTATGTGTGCTAATTTCAATGAATTGTAAGCCTCTTACCAACTTTTATATAGTTTTGCATTTTTCATAGTATTGGACACAGTTCCTTGCCTAAAGTACATAATAATATATTTGTGAAATATATGAATTAATGTATAACTTGAATTTTTAAAGAAAATATTGATACTTTTCAGTATGAAATCATTTTAAAAATGTAAAGTATTTTTGGCAAGATGCCCTGCAATAAAAATTAGTATATTGTTTCAACTTATTATAGAGAAATATATGTTGAGTACTTGTACTTGATTTTATGACTAGCCTCCTGAATTTTGTCTTATCTTTAGTAATTAATACAAACATTGATTATAAACTCTTGGAGAACACGGATTGTGGCTTATATCTTTAACATAATCTGGCCTTTAAATTCTCAATGAATTTTAGATAAACACATGGATAAATAATTTTGTGAAATGAGCCATGTTCCAGTGGTGCACTCCTGTAATCCCAGAAACTTGGGAGGCTGACACAGGAGGAATGCAAGTTAAAGGCCAGCCTCAGCAACTTAGCAAGACCCTGTATCAAAATAAAAAGGGAGGAACTGGGACTGTAGTTCAGTGGCAGAGCATTTGCCTAGCACATGAGAGACAATGGTTTCCATCCTTACCACTGCATAAAAATAAATAAATAAAATAAAGTGTTCTGTCTGTCTATAACTAAAAATATTTTTTTAAATGAATAACACAAAGGGATAGAGATATAGCTCAGTGGTAAAGTCCTTGGGCTCCATCCTCAGTACAAAAATAAATAAAAGGAAAAAATTTTGTGAAATGATTTTAAGTAAAATAGAGGAAGTTACAAAATCAAGTTTACTCATCTCTTTAGCAACAATAGCACACATTTTCTCTACACCTGGAGCTTTGATTATAATTATAAATAATGTTCCCTTTATAAATATTGAAGAGGATGAGAGTTTGTCCTATAAGGAGAAAAGATATTTGAAAATACTATTTAGGATAACTGCCATATTGGAGTAACCTTGTTAGATTATAACAAGTTAGTTGTTATAATCCTATTATAGTTTGATTTTTTATCTGTTTGAAAGCAACCTAAGTTGTTTTTTTTTTTGTTGTTGTTGTTGTTTTTATTGTTTGTTTTGCAGTACTAGGGATTGAGCCCTGGAGCAGTCTGCCACTGAACTAATCCCAGCCCTTTTTATTTTTTAAGACAGGGTCTTGCTGAGTTGCTGAGGCTGTCCTTCAACTATGCTCCTACTACCTCAGCTTCCCAAGTCACTGAAATTGCAGGCATGCGCCACTGCACCTAGATGGACTTGTTTTATTGTTATAGAATTGACTCTTCCCACTATTAAGCATAAATATAACCTTTATACTGAAATCAGAGAATGACATTCATGCATGAGATTAAGTTTGGCCTTCTTGCTAAAGAGATGTTTGTAAAAGATTATGGTATATGGCATATCATCTGCCCATATCATTTTTAGCTCTCTGCAGGATCTTTGATTACTCTTTTTCATGGAACCAAAAATATATACCTGTCAGCCAAACCAAATAATCCTTCTAAGAAGAGACAAGAATTTTTTTTTAGCTAAGTGGGTCATAAAAACTATTCATTATGTAATAATGTATATCTCAAGGACAAGGATTCTAAATATTTCTGTTTTTATACAGCATATAGTAGGTTATAAATCTGTTTACATTACTGCTTCTCAGAATATACCTTGATTTAAAAGGAACATGTCTTAAGCTCACATAATAATTTCAGATTTCCTTAGTAATAAACATACCCCCCCACCTTTTTTTTGTAGTACTAGATATTGAACCCAGGGGTGCTTTACTGAGGTATATTCCCAGTTATTATTATTTTTTTTAAGACAGGTTCTTACTAAATTGCTGAGACTGACCTTGAATTTTAGATCATCCTACCTTGGCCTCTTAAGTCGCTGGGATTACACGCCATGTACCACCATGCCTGGCTTTCAGTAAAATCTTTCAGAAAAGTAATGATAACTTGTTTGTTCAGTTTTTAGAGTTATTTTGTGTCTTTCAGCTACAAGATATCTGGCAATGATATGAATCATTTTTTTTCATGAAATATAAATCAGAGGCTTACCATATATGAATGACTTTTATGGCCTGATGTAGTAGTACATTTTCCCAGTTGCGTTTGGATGAGATAAAGCTTTTGTTTTTCTTTCAGTAGTTTGTTAGATATATATAGGGGAAAAGAAGAAGCATTATGGTATCATAAGCAATTGGATTACATAATGAACAACACTTAAAACATGTTTGTGTAGGGCAGAGTAGAGGAATAATTTCAATAATTAGCTGACTTCTAAACATCAGCTGGTAGTTGAAAATATGGTATTAATTAGAATGACTTGTGACAAATATTTTCTAAAGTACAAAATCTACTGGTCTCTTGTTCTGTATAGCAGCAGTTTTTCAAAACAAGTCATATTTACTGCTTCCTTATCCTTTGTACAACATATTAGATAGCATTTTTATTTCAGTTTCAATCTAATCTTTATCTGAATGTGAACTTTTAAAATTGTGCTGTGTTCCTTGAAAGTATTTTTAAAATATTCCTTGAACCCTATTTTATATACTGTACTTTTAATCTGCTGTTGTCCAAAGCTCCTTTTAAAAGATCAAGCTTACTTATAAAAATACCTTGAGATGAAATAGGTGACCATACTCTATTAAATCCTCATATATCAGTCTTAGTAGTTCATTCTGCTCTGTATTTGCCTTCAGTCCCAATTCTTTCCTAGACATATTTTGGACATACTGTATTAGACACTGCAAAATTGTTTACACATGCTTAATTTTTTTCTTTCAAAAATTTTAGAGGCAAAGCCCAAATATTTGTTGTCCAATATAAAACTATACAATATGTAATAGCAATACATACTCTGCTAACCTTGAAAATAGTTGTCATATTTGCTGTCCAGTGTTTCATTTATTTATTCAGTATGTAATGTATAGACAGACTGTACTACATTCTTTGGGGAAATACCAAAGAAAGAAATGCAAAAGTACTTCTTTCAAGGAGCTTATTTATAGTTTACTTGAGCACCTAAAATGTAGACAAAGGAACTCTGAAGACAGTTAAAATACCAGTTTACGGTAATCTCATGAAAATGTTTAATCAAAAATGTTTCTTGCCAGAATGTTTTATCTGAACCTAATCCTAAAGAAGTAAACAAATTCATATTGTAGAGCATTCTACAGAAAAAATTATTCTGTGCTTTTCTAATGTCTCAATGTCACGGCAACTAAAAAAGGGAGAAGTGGGGTCTAGGTTCTCAAGACTAGAGGAGACTAAAAAGACATGGAAACCAAAGGTAATATATGATCTGCTTGCCTGCTTGATATAAAATGTTCATGTCCTTCAAGGATGTCCACTGTCACCACTCCTATTTAATATAGTAATAGAAATTGTAGCCAGAGCAATTAGGCAAGACAAGGAAATAAAAGAGGAAAGGAAAAAGTCAAATTATCACTGTTTGCAGATGATATGATCCTATACTTAGAGGATTCTAAAATCTCCACCTGAAAATACTTAGAGCTAATAAATTCAGCAAAGTGTCAAGTTACAAAATTAATACAAAAGTCAATAGCTTTTCTGTACACCAATGATGAGTTTGCTCAGAGAGAAGTCAAGAAACAATCCCATTCACAATAGCCTTTTCAAAAAAGAAAAGAAAAAAAAAAAACTAGGAATAAATCTAACCAAGGAAATGAAAGACCTCACAATGAGAACTATAGAACATTGACCAAAGAAATTGAAGAAGAAACAAGAAGATAGGAAAACCTTGCATATTCATAGATAGGCAAAATTAAAATAGCCATAATATCAAAAGCAATATACAGTTTCAATGCTGTTCCCATCAAAATACCAATGACATTCTTCACAGAACTAGAAAAAATAGTCCTGAAATTCATTTGGAAGACTAAAAGACCCAGAATAGCCAAAGCAATTCTAAGCCAAAATGCAGTGTTGGAGGGATTACTATACCTGATTTCAAATTACATCAGAGCTATAGCAACAAAAACTCTGTGGTACTGGCATAAACACTCAGATACAGTCATCTGATCCTTCCTTGACAGAGGTCCCTAAAACATATATTGAAGAAAAGATAACCAGTTTTCCCAGCACCATTTATTAGAAAGATTATCCATATGTAGAAGAATGAGACTAAACCCTTATCTGTCACCCTTATAAAAATTAATTCAAAATGGCGAGTGACCTAGAAATTAGACCAGAAACTATGCAACTCCGAAAATATAGGGTCAACACTCCAATATATAGGCATAGGCAACAACTTTCCTAACAGAACCCCTAAAGCTCAGGACATAATGCCAAGAATTAATAAATGGGAAAAAAAGAATGGGAAAAAAATCTTTGCTAGTTACTTTATTGACAGAGGATTAACATCCAGTATATATAAAGAACTCAACATACATACATACATACACACACACACACACACACACAACCCAATTAATAAATGGGCAAATGAATTAAACAGACACTTATCAAAAGAAATGCAATTTTTTTCATAAGAATATGAAAAGTTTAGCATCATTAGCAATCAGAGAAATGCATATTAAAATGACATTCAGATTTCATCTCACTGTAGTTGGAATGGCAGCCATCAAGAATACAAATAAGCTAGGTATGGTGGCACTCACCTATAATCCCAGTGACGTGGGAGTCAAGACCAGTCTCAGCAATTTAGCAAGGCCCTAAGCAACTTAGTGAGACTCTGTCTCAAAATAAAAAATAAAATGGGCTGGGGATGTAGCTCAGTGGTAAATTGCCTGTGGGTTCAACCCCTAGTTAAAAAATAATAATAAAATAAAATAAAAACAATATAGTAAATG